CCTCCTCAGCGACACTCATTTCGTCATCGCTTTCCTCCTCCTCACTCTCCGATTCGTGGCTATCCTCGTCAACACCCTCTTGGCTATCCTGCTCGTCCTCACCCTCACCTTCGTACCCAGCCTCCTCGTCCTCGCCTTCATGATCTAACTCATTGGCCTGGTTTCGAGTATGCGAATGAGAAGTAGTTTTGACCACATCGACGTGTTCTAGACCGCCAATTGTAGTGATGGCTGTAGCGTGACATTTTTTCACGGTACATCGCCAGTAAGTTTTGTCTTTGTTTTGGAGACGATAGTAATATGTGTAGCCATCGAACCGAAGTTTATCTCCACCGTTTTCTAGCTTTATGATTTTTGCATTCATGCTTATGCTTCTCGTTCAGGCGATGCCTTCAAACTGAATTCTCGCTGCCTACAAGTTGCTTTTATAGGTGTGGCTATGACTGAAACTTCCTTTTTGTTTTCTTCTTTTTATACAAAAAGTGCCCTAAAAGGAGTGAAAAGGGAAATTTCTCTGCCATCGTTAAATAAACCAACGTCTGGCAACACTGATCAGTATCAAACCACCACAAGTATATAAAGGCGAGCATTAGAATCATTTCGCATTCATGATGAGAAACACCATCATTACCATTCCGCAAGAGAGTTTGCAGGCCCTGCGGGGCAATGCTACCATGTCACCTGCAAGTAGATATGAGCAGCAAATGTCCGATATTCTAGCCGATTGGAATCCAGGCATTCCTAAAAACGAGGAGGATAGCCAAGAGGGTGTTGACGAGGATAGCCACGAATCGGAGAGTGAGGAGGAGGAAAGCGATGACGAAATGAGTGTCGCTGAGGAGGAGGACGATGATGTCCTGTGGGAGGAGTGGGTGGAGGAGAGCAGTGATGATGAGGAGCATGATGATGAAGAAAGTGAGAGTGAGGCCGACGGTGACGAGGATATGGACGAGGCTGATCAGTACGACCATGCTTACGAGGTCTTGCGTGCTCATGAAAAAGCTTTTAAAGAGCAAATACGATTCCTGCGAGAACCCGAGCATAACATTAGGGCAGCCGTTCTTGAGAATGCCGACAAAGGGCTCATCTGCTTTCTGAATGAAATTTGCTTCAATCTGCTCCGTGGGTACTTCTCTGCGTCTAAGTACGAGAAAAAAATGCTACGAAATTTTAAGGAAATCATACGTTACCTGGCACATGAAGAGATAGGATGGCGGGAGAAAAAGCAGTTTTTGATAGACCATGCCGAAGATCCATTTCTTTCCGTTCTCTTGAACGACTTGGCCGAGGTACACCATTTCTGCCGGTAAAAGAAGCGCGAAAGGTGTGGTCCAAAAGGGTCCAAAAA